AAATCGCACAAAATTCATTGCTAGAATAACTAACTGGTGTATTTTTTCTCAAATATGCCATTTACTGCAAAAATTACTGGGAATCCATACATTTCCATACACGAAGAACGCATAGAATCTGTCCAAAAACAATTCCTTTTATATGCTTTACGTGAATTGAATTGGACTGCATTTCCATTGCCATCTTATGAAGCGCGCTGCATGCTCATCAATATACAAACACTTAAAGAGCGCCACCAATTTGCAATGCTTTTCTTCATCAACGACATTATTTCAATGCGCATAGATTCGGCAGAAATTCTCGCACAATTAAACTTTTACACACCTTGTCGATATCTTAGAACACGGAATTTATTTTCAAAAAAATCGTACAGAACAAACTATGCAAAAAATAGCCCAATCAATCGAATGATGCGCCTATATAATTTGCATTGCGGAACTATTGACATCACTATGTCCAAGCAGCAAATAAAAACTAAGCTAAAACAGAATAGAATTAATGTATAGTATGTAAGTAAACATTGTAATAATCATTGTATGTAGTCTACACTGGCTTGACGAAATGGAAATAAATATATGATTTTCCATCCCTTGCTACCTAAAGCTGTAACAAATTCAAAGAGCACTGTTCAAATTTGTAAAATTTGTAGTCCGGATCGTGCTATCTTGCCGTGCGGATCTATTTGCTTTTTGCTGAAGGAAGTGTTACTGCTACCTTCGATTCTTAAGATTCTTATAGTAATCTGCTTGGAAGTCGATTTGGATAAAAAAAAATACTGCCGCCATGGCGTCTAAGCGCAAAAGAAAGGGGCAATCACTTGATCCCCCTTCTGATGAAATTAATTTGAGCAATCAATTTGATTTACTCACGGATGATGATAATGGTCCATCATCCAGGAAAAACTCTAGTAAACTTTCCCAGCTTAATGCCAAGAAGGAAAAGAATCTCCCTATTGTGATAACCCCTTCCGATTTCCATGCTCTTCTCACGGAATATTTGAACTTCGTGAATTTCAAGTTTTCACTGAAAATTGGCCGTCACGGTGAATGCCGTGTATTGGCTGAAACCTTGGACGGATTCAAATGTCTTCTCAAGCAGAAGCAGCATACATTTTTTACTTACGACATCAAAACTGAAAGTGTGTTCAAGGTTGTCATGAAAGGTCTGCCCAGTGGTGAATCCCTGCATCAGATCAAAAAAAAAAAGAATTGGCAAAATTACTTGGAGTTGTGCCACTCCAAGTAATCGAAATGAAAATGAAATCGCGTCCTGGCGATTCGTGCAACGGGATTTCTAATGATTTTTATTTAGTTCACTTCAAGTCTAGTGAACAAAACAATCTTAAGGCCTTAGAGAAAGCTAGCCTTATGCTCCATGTCCGAGTGAAGTGGGAGCACTTCAGGAGGAATGAATGAAATTTACCAAACCTCACCCAGAGCCGTAAGTGCCAGGGATTGGGTCACGGAACAAAACAATGTAACATGCCAGCTAAATGCATGTGGAGATTCCTCTAACGCAAAGGATAACTGTCCTGAGAAGGAAGATCCTAAGATATTTAAATGCTCAAATTGTGGTGAAAAACACAAATCCAATTTTTGGGAATGTAACACTCGCAAAGTGATCTTACAATCTCGTTCTAAGTGACAGGAAGGAAACGCTCCACATTCTAAACCAGGTACCACATGTTCAGCGAGTACATAGAGCTACCTATGCTGATATTGATCAGAGTACATATCGAATTAAAAATTCTAGAAAACATAATTCTAACGGAAATGTTAATGATTTTGACTTGGTAGCATTATTGTTCCCAAAATGAATTTTTTACAGAAATCATTAATCGCCATGATTACAGACATGCTCAAAACTATCTCCATGTTTGATGATTTTTATTCAAACTGGAGTTAAGTTTGCGAACAATATCATCATGACTTTGAAATACACCAATGGATTTTTAATCATGAAATATTTTGAATAGGAAGGCTCGATCTCTTAAAGATCATGAAGACTTTTTGAGACTTTACTGATGGCTGTGTGGTATAAAACAACATATCGATGTCGTGAGGAGTGAAGAAATGTCGTCATGATGTTTTGACATATTAGTGGATGCCGCACCGCCGCCACAAAACTGGGCACCTTTCCTTTGCCCGGGCGTCCACTGATGTGGCGGAGGTTTGGCATCTGCTAGCATTTCAAAATATCATCGACATTTGCCACACACCCCACGACTTTGACTTGATGTTTTATATGCTAGCAGATACCAAATCACTGCTAGTTAATATCAGTGAGTTAAACTTAGGCAGGGTAGTTTGTGTGAGAGATTCAGATAATTATGGTGACAATCCATAACTTAGGGTTGATGCATATATTATGTCACGCTCTAAGGGGGAAGGGGGTGTAAGATTTTATATTATGTATACGAAAAACAGAACAGCTTCTCCCTGGGGGGCAAATTTTTCCTCAATTTGGCGTGATATAATTAATGCATGACACTAACTCGCAGCCTGCTTCGAGTAAGATGCCATGAGCGCATGGCATATGATCCACTAGCAGCAGGGAAAGGCATGTCGTTGGACACCCACATATGGAAGCGAAATGTGATCACAAGTTCTCCCGGATCACCTCAGCTGCTTTCAATTTTATTTCCAGCTACTAAAACACGCAAACGTCTGCCGTAAGCAAAAAAAAAACTTCGGCAGCATGTGACACCCGTACTGTTGTGTACATTTTCTATAGATCACGTTTTGTTCTCGTTCTCGTTCGGAGTAAAAGTGAAGGCAATAGGTGGAAACAAATGGAAGCCAAAACAAACCACCCGAAAATGATAAATTTTACATTGACGTGCACAGAAATATGCGGATGCGCTAAAACAAAAAAGTCAGCAAAATTTGGATCAAACAGCTTCGCTTCAATACGAAAGTAAGTTTATTTGACAATGACAGACGAAATGAACACGAGTCAAGCCAAACCAAACAGCATGAAAACTGATCGAAAGTTGTTCTATTGATGCTATTCTGCTCGAAGAGAAGACAGAATGACTTTCAATTGACGATTTTCGCTGGAAAATGACTTTGTTGGACCCTGATACTAATAGAATGAGTGAATCCTCTGTCGATTTTCTCATAATCAAATAATTTTTTTCTGGCATAGCCCGGAAAATTCAACTGACTTTTACGTTAATCCACTTTTTTTCCGAAATTGAGTGGACTTAGTCTCAATTTTGAGTCATCCTGAACGACCTTGTTTCTTCATACTTGTTCCTCGCTGTGGCTAATATTAAGGCATTATGTAACCGTGAAAACGGCAAAATAGACACTCCCGAATGGTCTTGAAACGACAAAATATTTAAGGCCTTTTACGGTATGAGAGCCCCTTCTTCCTTGACAGGTTTGGAATTGATTGCTGTCTATCACTTTGATTCTTGATTCTTTATTCTAAAAATCGTCGCGTAACTAATGGAGCTGTTGGTATACAGCTTATGCTTGACTATCCCATCACGATTTAATCTTAGTATTTTGCATAAACTTTTAAAATTATCGGAATTCTTGCGGACAGCCTACCCATCGATTGAGAAACGCCAATCTTATATTTATATATATAGGGTTACGGTATGTAATGTGGGTCTAGTCCTTTCATTCGGCCTATCACGCAAATAAATGATTAATTAAGGAATATTACACAAAAAATAAGGAAAATATTGATCACTGATGGTTGATAAATGTGTACCACACACAAATCAATTTATATCACAACATTTCAATACATTTTCAGCTCTCGTAAGTAATAAAACTGGTTGAGAATATCACAATGTTCGGAGTTTTTAGCCGCCATGACTTATTAGGTTAAGATGGGAAGGTTGACTGACGATCATCAAATGGCCTGATTATGGCATTTATTGATTGGAATTACCTGATAATACACACTAGACGTAAAACTTACAGTTGCTGTTTGAATATTTTATGTTTATTTTAATTGTTTAACAACGTTTTCACAAGTAAAACATGAACCCAACTTTAGGGACACATTTCTTTTCTATGTTCCTAACTATGGCCCATGAAATTCATTTGACAGCATATAGCAATAAGAGTAACGTCAACAATGTTGTTTTGCATTTGGATGATAAGGAACGAACAGGAAGGGAGATTTTTTCTGCCAAACCTGTATAATGAACATCACAATGTTCTGATTTAGATATTCTGCGGTCAAAAGACGATAAGCGAAATTTTTAATTTTAAATTTTTAAATTGAGTGATTTAATGTAGTTTTCGTAAAATTTTCTCTAAGAAATGTTTTGAGGAATGAAGAGCATTAAGTTAACAGTGATAGTGATAAAAAAAAATACATCAGAAAACGTTACCAAGAGCGTTTTTTTGAGGATCAAACAAGATAGGACGAAGTTGCATCCATAAATAGACCCAATTTGGGGACAATAGACCCATATTACATACATTTCCCTCGTGAGTTATTGTCTTAAAAAAAGTAAGTTTTTCAACTTTTCGTGGTTTCTGATAGCAAACGACATGATAAGCATATCTAAGCATACCATTTAGCAGTAGAATATCGTTTGCAGGTAAATTCATTGATGAGTTATGATTAAAAACGTAATCGATGGCTGCATATTAGACCGAGGTTAGGGACGTATACCCTATTATGAAAGTACAGAATCGTGTATTGCAATCAAGCTAGCGAACAAATAGATGTTGCTCGCAGCAAATAAAACTGCAGTGCCAGATGTCTACCCATGTTTTATCGCTAAACTATTGAAGTTCATGGCAATAAAAAAAACGCTTTCCAGCCACTACTGATTACCGACAGCAATTGGTTTGATTTTATCGCCTCTCTTATTGTCCTTGAACTACTCGACTTGTTCAAATAATTACTTATACATGTCACGGTTTTATTTGCACTTCATCGTCACAGTTGTTACATTTACAGTTCAATCCGTTGATAATGATTATGGCTTTGCACACTAACCCTAATATAGCGTTTACCGTCATTTTAGGTTCGGCCTATACCTGCGACTGTTCATCGTGATGGGAGTGACCTGGTCCCTGGAGGTGGTCTCGTGGGCCGTGAACAACGTCGCTTGGATGTTCTACATCTCGGACATCTGCAACTGCATGCAAGGATTCCTGATTTTCATGCTGTTCGTGTGGAAGCAGAAAATCAAACGACTTATCTACAAAAAGTATGTATGTAGCGACAGTTTGTTTCTAAGCACGTGTTTTACTCTGGAATGCGAAAATTTCTCCTCCTTGCTCTGCATCACCGCATCAACAGTGCTGCCAGTTTAGATAATCTTTGCTGATCTCTTTTTCATAAATGCGGTCATTTCTGTTAATTTTCTATCTAATTTTCCCGCTACACGGAAACTTACATCATCCAAATTGGGGATCAACGACTAGTCTGGTTGACAAAGTAGTGTCATAATTTTTATCGTTCTGTTTTGTTTTCTCCTTTTTCTTCAAATTAATCACCGTGTAGCACTTCTGTGAGTCCGCTACACGAACCCTAGGCATTGTCATGGAGAGGACGTGTTTCCTCCCGCGGACAAACATGGTAACGCAAAAGACTGAGACATCGTTGTTAATTATTAGCGCAATCTTGTGACAATATTGAAGAAAGAAAGAAGCATGATTTATAACAGGTCCTGCCAAACCATTAAGGTGTGCTGCCAAATTAATGTAATTAGCAGGACTGGTATCTCCAGTTCTGGTCGTAATTTCGCGGTCGTCGGCTTAGGTAAACTGCTCTTTCGTTACACTTATCATTCACTTACCAATGCATACTGGTCGAAGCTACTAATAAGCGGAATTAAGGTAGTCAATGTCTCTCACCCATGGCCATGACATAATCGAGCACTGTAGATAGTCTTCCCTTTATAACATAAGTTTTCTACTGACGGAATACTTTTCAATTTCAATCTCCTTGTACTCACGGTGTCTCTGGAAGAACAACTTATTTGAGGGGGAAAGGGGTGTAAGTGTCTTTGATCGATTCTCTTCATCGACTTTCTCTTTTGATATAGTTTGATAAAGGAGGTTCTCATCTAGCAACCAGAATGGCACACGAATCAAGGAATGCATTTGCAGCTGAATTCTTAACGAAAGAGAAAGTCGATCCAAGTCACTTACACCCCTTTCCTTCTAATCTCCTCATTAAAAAAAATCAGTATCGCTAGAACACCCACCAAACGAAAGATGGGGTCATCTCTTTCATATGAGACTAGTATGGAAACGTTCTATCGGGTGGGAGGGGGGTGCCTTGAACAATTTTTATTTATTTCGTATTTTTCAGTGTAACTAACTAAGCCCCCGATAGAAGTGTAAGTAACTAAGCCCCCGATAGAAAATTTTGAAGAAATATGGGCACCTAAGATTTCGTTTGGTGGGTGTTTCAGCGATACTGATTTTTTTTTTAACAATAATGTTATTCTACCAGAGACACCGTGACACTGTCTTGTTACTGTAGGGATATTTAATGCTTACTAACCTCGTTACTGCTGTGGATTCGCCACTTCTATGGGAATCTTCAATCACGATAATCTCACACGATCAAATTGGATTACTGATAGTTGAAATTGTCTTCATTAATTCATCCGTGATCGATCAATATAGGTTTTAAGGCTTTTTGTGGATTATGCAATCGTTAGGTAATTCTGTAACTTTAGTAACAATATTCGAATTATGGTTTCGGTGATCTGAGTTCATTACTTCAGCTCTTATCCCTAGTCTTTTCAGATGCTGACTCTCACTGTTCCTTATAAATAATCGACTGATCATTGTCTTTCCCATTCCTAGTGCTTTATTTAATAATATGATACTATTAATGTTACCTTGTAAATCTCTGAGTTGTTTTAAAATCAGTATGAAATACTATCTACCGTATGCGTGATAATGTTTGCACCATCGAGCAATGTCAAAATTAAAAAAATCTCAAAAATTTCGTTTTCGAGTTTTTTTTTATTTATTCAAAGGGGAGATGTTTCTCAGAGTCTTAAACTATTTTAATCATCGATCGAGTTTCCATTTGCTGTAATTTCGGCTTCCACACGCTGCCGGAATGCACGGCAGGTTAATGTAGTCTGGATCCATTTCTCTCCAGGTACGGGTCAATGTTTATCTGAGGCTTGCTGTACTCGATTGGCGTTTAGAACAGGCCTTGGCCTTCATGACGCGCCATATTGAGTAATCCACCGGATTAAGATCGGGGCTGGATAGCGGCCACATATCCTTCGCCCAGAACGAAAGATGTTCCTGCAACCACTTCTGAGTGCGATTCGAGGTGTGGCACGGAGCCCCATCTTGTTGAAATACAACATTTGGCTTCGGACCGTACTGTTCTTTGATCCACGGAAGAACATACTTACTTAAAATTCCGATGTAGACCTCCGTGTTGACCGTGTCACCTTCTGGAATGAACACCGGGTCCATTTTTTTGTCATCGGAAGCCACCAATCCAAACACCAACGCTAGCAGGATGCTTGGTCAGATACACGTTCTTGTGCTCGTCGACCACGTCTTTTACCGAAAGAGAACTAATATACCGGTCGTTTCCTGAATTTGATACGGGATCGACGGTAAACATGCTCTCGTCGGTGAACAGGATTACCGGATTTTTTCGCTTAAGGAAGTTCAAGATTTTCTTGCATCATTCGATTCGTAGCTCCCAGATTCGGTTGGTAATCATGTGAGTTTTTTCCGTGCCCTCGACTTCGCCCCGCAATCTTCCTTTACGATCTTCCGTGCCGTATAGTCACTGATCCCGTGTTCCTTTGCCATTTTCCTTATTGAACGCACTGGATTCACCCGAATCTTCCTTTTGTTAGCAGCGATAACCCTCGGAACTCGAGCTGACCTCGGACGACCTGTGGCTACCTTTGCGGATAGTTGTCCTTTCTTTTCACCTCTGCGGATAGTTGTCATGCTGCAACTGTCAAACTAAGTAAATCATTTTCTTTTATACACAGCCTACTACGGTATAAGCTATAGGTTACGTGCATGCAAAGAAAACCAAGGCATTGTATGCATAGGTGAAACGGGAACCTTATTTGTACGATAGTGCAAACATTATCACGCATACGGTATTGACATTTGAAATCAAACCAGTAGTTCTGGTGAATAGCCTTGCCTTCTTCTGGATACAATCTGAAAAAAAGATTTGCGCGTGATTCAAAGGAAGTAGTAATATACTGCCAGTACATCGAATCGGTTTGCTGACTACAGGTGTGCTATTGCTGTTGTATTTTATTTTTACTGGATTAATTCAGTCACCAGCAAAGCGTGTTACTAACTAATTTTTCATTACGCTCCCGTTCATCTCAAATCTATGCGCTCCTTTTATGGGTTGTAATTTAGTTCCCTCTAATTAAAACTACACAGCAAGAAATTCTGCATTTTAATTGTGATGTAAACATTCATTCACGTAAACTTGTATTTAATTTCACGCAAAGGAGTAGCTTGTAAGCAATGTCAGAACTTAACACTATTTATAATGTAAACTTAAATGATATGTGACGCTCCATTATTCCATATTGAACACAAATTTACGCTACTTTTTCGAACTGTGTAGGGTACGGGTAACGGGGCCTCCCTTAGCTCAGTCGGTAAAGGCGCAGCTACAAAGCAAGACCATGCGGAAGGTAGCTGAGTTCGATTCCCAGTTCGGTCCAGGAATTTTTCGGATTGGACAATTTCACGACTTCCCTGGGCATTAGACTGATGCAAAATTTGAAATTTTCGCTCTACAGTGTTCAAACGGTTTCAAATCGGGTCCTGATTAGCCTCTGAAAGTTTAAACTCATTTGATAAGAAACTGACTTGGCACAAACTATTTGCAGTTTTTATGGAAATTGCTATGGGAAAACCAAACTTTTGTTCATTGTCTTCTAGCCTTTTCCATATTGTACTGTTAACAAGTTCTATTGCTATTCTCATGGGAATTTTTATCAGCTACAACTTTGCAGAAAATGGTTTTTCAGCCAAACGTCAAATAAAATAGTTATTAATTGTTTAAGAGATTGATAATCTTGTGGCATGATCAAGCAGCTGTTCTGTGAGCAACACTGTATTCTGCAGTGTGACATAGTAGTTTTTGTCCTCTATTCTACGCGCCATAAACACCGATGTTGGCTGCTGAACAGTTGATTGAGCATAATCATTAGACATCAGTGACTTGAATCATTAATAACTTTTGTTCCTTACATTTGATTGAAAAGTGGTCTTCAAAAAATTTGTAGCTGAGAAAATTTTCAAAAAGCGCTCATTTTCTAAAGCAGAGTGAACTGGTGAGTTTTGAGATCGATATGAACCAAAATTATGGTTTCCCCATAATAATTTACATATAAACTTCAAATGGTTTGTGCCAAGTCAGGTTCTTACTAAAGGAGTTCAAATTTTGGGAGGATAATCAGGAGCCAATTTGGAACCGTTTGAGCACTGTGGAGCGAAAATTTCAAATTTTGCATCAGTCTTCTGGGCATAGAGTGTAATTGTACTTGCGAGCGGCCTTCCGACAGTTAACCGGAATAAGTTTTTGAGTTCTTTCTTCGTTTTATTTATCGCGACAAAATTGTTGGAGCAGATCTTACGCTTCAGGTTCGATGGGACGCAGATGGGGGACGTTGGGCGGGTTCGCTGACTTGGGTACCACATCGATATTCAGCCGCTCCATCTCCTCCAACGATCGCTTCAAGTAGTGGGCCGACGTCAGATCCGGCCAGAACACCGCGTCTTAACCCTTATGGTATTTCTTGATGAACGACGCAACTTCAGGCAGGCATTTCGTACTATAAATTTCACCGTTCACGGCCAGTCCGGAGCGAAAGAAGAGTGGCTTTGACATCCCCTTCTCGCTGATTGTCAGCCACAGCAGCACCTTCTTGGCGAACTTGGTGTGTGAAATGAACTTCACCTCGGAGCTCACTTCCTTCGTGGGGAAAGTAAAATACGAAGTGCCCTGCCAGTCGTTGCCATCCAGGGTGAGATAGGTCTCGTCGTCCATCACCACCGCCACGTCGCGATTCGCCGGGAAAAACGAGTTGACCATCTTATTCAGCCGCTGCCGCTGGCTTCCGCTTCCTTACATGTATGTTCATGTTCGCCAGGTACTTTTTCATTGTTTGGCCGGTTGCACTGACCTCCCGGCCAAGCGATGTGGCCACTTTTCCCTCGGTCTTCCTCTTCAACATCCT